CGTGGTGTCGTCTGGCAAGGATATACCATGCTAAAGTATTGGTGGAAATCCCGTCATAAGAAGAAGCTGTGGTACGAGGAACTGGCAACTGCTATTATTGCTAGCACGGAAAACAGAGATCTGGCCGAAAAGATAAAAAAGGAAGGCCCTGATGTGCCTTATCGTTAGATTTCTTGTCAACGATATCGATATTTTGTTTTCAAAATTGACATTTTAACGAAAGTAATACGCCTGTAAATTGTAAATTGTTGCAGTTTCCTTACGTAAAACATTTCGAATGCAAGTTTTGCTCCCTAGCTGTTTAGTTGTACAAATTGTTTACAGCCAAGCTGAACTTCAATGTTTTTTTTTGCTTTACAATACCAATGTTTTAGTAATATACTCGTATCCTTCCTACTTTATCATACAAATATTTTAACTATAACTTTACTGTTTCTAAATTTAACATACCAATATACTAAACTCCACTTTTTTACAAATTTATTGTATCTTATTTACGGATATTGTTTTATTGTTTCAGTTCCTTTATTTTTCAACAAAAAAAGGAAACAATAACTGTTCGTTGGATTTTACCTTTGCAATCGTCGCGCAACTGACACCCAAAACACTGGGTGCCCGTGAAAATAATTAGAGTGTAACTGCATCATAAACTGATACTTAAGGAAAGTTATGTTTTTTTTGTACAACATTTCGAGTCATAAATGGTTGGAACAACATGAGAGGAACAGTTTCTGTTTTTCAATTTATTATTCTACATAATGCGAACTGGTTACACTAAACTGTGATAATTGTTCAAAATAACTTAAAACGAAGTAAAGTGAATTTTTTTCAGTGATGTATTTATTCTTAATCACGTTTCTTAATTTCGCTATTTTATATAAAAAAGTTTGAGTATGCAACAACACATTCATCATCCACGATTTTATGAATAATTTTGCATAATTTACTGTTGAAAATTTTTGTTTCCGGAAATACGTAACATTAGGTAGGAAATTTCTCTAAATAAGGAATATTAATATTTCAATTGTTACATAATAGAAGAGTCTAAATTTCAGAAACATCTTATGTTCTGTTGCAAATTTACTTTGTAGAAAGTTATGTTGTTCATTTACATGTTAACAATGTTTAAAATTTGAACATTTGTTTATTTCCTAAAAGTTTCAGTGAGAAGTTACCTAAATGGGTCTCAGCTCCATCAATGCTGATCTTAAATTTTCAGTAATGTACATTTCAGTTTCCTAGTTCTTACAAGCACAAGACAGACAATCATTTGTACACTGTGCCATGCTCTGGAGCAGACTAAGCAACCGAGGGGAGGTTACATCGAGAAGCAAGTGTCTTATTTAATTTACTTTTCCTGTTGTCGTTATTTACGGAAGTCCAACTGTCAAGAGTTTTATCGCAAGTCAAGACATTTTAAAGTGAGTTTTTTTTTATGTTTCAAGGCAAGGTAAGCAACTTAAAGAAACAGATTAATTATTACAGCTTCTTGATTGATTTACGAGTAATGTAATAAATTTTGATTTATGAAACGCTTTCAAGCTACAATGTTATCAACACAGCACCACGTGCTTATAACATTGATAATTGAAACGTCTAGCATGACATTCAAAGAATTTTTTATCTTGAGTGTAAAGGCGGATTTCCACTTATTGAAAACTTTCTATAGAAAGAAATATTTCTCTACAATTGACGGAAAAAGTTCCTGCATCCATTTCCACTGTAGTAATCTATGTTTCTTCAGAAAACCGAGCTTGTTACAAAATTAACAATATAGCGGCTTTAAATAAACGACTTTTGATGTTGTATTTACTTAAGAGGAGGCTCAATCGAAGAGATAAGTTTAAGAAAAGTGTGTGGGTGCGAAAACTATGTAGAGAACGTGATATTAAAGGAGAAATGAATCGACTAATCAAAGATCTTTGGTTATATGATCAAGTTTTATTTTTTACATATTTCCGAATGACACCAAAACAATTTAAGGAACTGCTTCAATGGATTGGTCCCTATTTGAAGAAATCGTCTCAACGAAGGAAAGTAATAACCCCAAGCGAGCGGCTGTGCGTAACTTTACGTTATTTGTGCACTGGAGATGCTCAAATTACCATAGCAATGGCCTATCGAATAAGTCCCACGTCAATAAGTCGAATTATCAACGAAACTTGCGAAGCTATTTTGACTGTAATGCTAAGTAACGATATATTAAAAGTACCATCCACTGAAGACGAGTGGAGACAAATTGCACACGATTTTGAATCAAAGTGGAATTTTGATCACTGAGTAGGCGCAATAGATGGAAAGCATGTTGCTATGCAAGCCCCTCATCGATCAGGTTCAATGTTCTTCAATTATAAAAAAACGCACTAAAAATAAAAGTCATAAATCATAATGTTTATGCACATAACTACTAAAAATCATAATGTTTATGCACATAAGAACAGATTGCAGAAAACAAATGTACAAATCATAGAAATGGTATAGTGTAAGTTATTAGCCGGTAGCATTGGAACAGTGGTATGTGGACAATATTGATATTTGATAACTGTTTACGGATAATGTTTATTGAGTAATGTAATTGTTTCATTTATGTTTCATATTGTCAACTGACAACAGTCACGAACGACGCTGTTAGCTGTCTTTTAATTCTATACTCACTTATGATCATAAATTGTTGGACAAAATTAAGAACTATTTTTAGTTTTTAGTCATAATGTAGAATATTTTATAGAGCGCTGTGTTGTGTTCATTTTAAAACCGAAAAGTCGAAAGTTAAACATTTCTAGAAAGAAAACAAGCATTGATGCTATTTCAATAAAAACCTACCGACGAATCTGAACGAGTTAAAGTGTCGTGTATTTCTTGATGTGATGAAATACTTGACGTCGTAGGCGTAGGAATTGGGAGGAATGAATTTAAATTAAGGGGGGGGGGAGAGGCATTTATTAAAAATATTAGTATTGTTAATATATTTAGAAATCACGTGATGTTTCGTCATACGATGTACATGTAAACTTTTTAAAGTGAAAGTTTTTCAGATGCTCTGAATAAGACCATATAAACGCGAATAAAAGAGTGAATATGTTGAATTGTAATTCATAATGGCCATTGAGATAAATGGCTCGCGTATGTCAATATTATTGTCTGATGTTTGCACATATGACACAGAAGGCAAAATTTTCCTTCTAAGTATTAATTTCAAGTATAGCAAACGATGAAGTGAAAATGATCATTTTTCCTCTAGTTGTGATGGCCGAGTCTAACAGGAATATATCTATAACTGGCGGCAATACTATAATTGGTGATCACATGACAGTTAATGTTACTCATACTGGTACTTCAAGTGAAGTAAATAATGCTCCTCTACATATTACTCATGCTGGCTCTTCCAGTGAAGTAAATAATGGAGCTGTTTCAATTGAAGGTAATAAATTTGTATCTTTTCCTTCTGCATGTTTCCATAAACTATCAATAGGATACCAACAACTGTTAATCCAATCAAGAAATGCATCTAATAATTAAATGTAATAATGTCACTCATTTGTCTATTTTTTAAAAATTTTTGGTGAGAATCTTTTATCCTAGATAGAAAAATCAGGGCTTCCAATTGCGCAAGCCAGATTATCAGTATTTTCAAAGAAGGGAATTAGATGATCAACTTCAGCGATTGCAAAAAGGAGTTCCAATAATTTTGCATGGATCAATTGGAGTGGGAAAATCTTCTGCTGCTTTAAATTATCTTGTTGTCAACAAAGACAAATATGAGATCAGTTGGTTGATAGATCTTAAGACCTTAAAAAACGAACAAGCTGAATCATTGACAGATGATTTTTTATTTAATCCAGTAAACTTTATAATTTCCACTTAACTCAGTCTTTCCCTAGAAACATATTTATTATAAAAAGCACCCTTCTATTTTACGCTATGGTTTACTTGCTTTTATTTTTATGTCTTTTTAAAGGAAAAAAGTCTGACGATACTGCTGACGCTAAATCCCCTTCAAATTTACCCGTTCGTACGGAGAAAACAAAAGGTATGCTTATTATATTAGAAGGTAAATATACAAAATTTAGAGCTTTGATAGTTGAACTCTTTCATAGTCAAAGAGGGAAAATTGTGAAAATACTTCGAATTTAGATCAAGTTGATTTCATTAGTTCTTCAAATATTCCTTAACTTTTGTTTATAAATATTGTTCCTTGTTATAAAACTAAGCGGTTAGAACATTTTGCAATCACAGATAACGCAAAGCGTTACAAATTTTGGTGTTTGTTTTATGTTGTATTATTTCAAATAACTCATGTTACTTTTGTAACATTAAGATACTTTAAAAAACCAGCATTGATTATAACAAATTTTATACGCAAAACCTCAAACGTAAAGCAGACCAGGTGTCTCACTTTTCCTTATTCCTTCGCAAAAAAGATACAGTTTTATAGGAAAAAATATGGAAAAAAAACCTAAAATTAATAAAACTGATTTCTTCATTGACAATTTTAATATCACAACTATTTTAAATCAAATTTGAGAATAATCATTTTGACTACATAGATAACCTATCCCACAAAAAGCTCTTCGCTTAAACCAAGTAGTTTACTGCATAAAGTAGGATTCAAATCTTAGAACATGATTAAGTTATATTCTTTATGCGGCAATTTTTTTTTAACGCACAATATCAAAGGTATAACAAATTAAAAAACAATATAAAAACTTAGAAGACATAAAGCTTAGGAGAAAAATACTTCCGTGCATAATTTTGATCTTAAGACAATAAACACTGGCATGACAACACTTACGCTTGAAACAATTTAGTTTAAGCAACTTTTTCATATCTGCACTAGGTTGCACTATTTTCCGTTTTTTACGTGTGAAATATGTGAAGGTCCTTGCATGCAGTTAATTTAAAAACTGAACAAATTTTCTTAAGGCAGAATTTGATTGTACTTCTTTCTTGCCATGTGCGAGGAACGAACGAGTAGCTTGAAAAGAATACAAATTTAACATAAATGTATGAAAAGGCATGTTATGCCATGACTTATCATGATGACGAGTAGAATTAAAATCTATAACTTCAATTTAAGGTATATCTTGCTCAAATTTTTTAACTCCAACTCTTCATCAGCTACGTCACTACTACGTAGAAACATGATATTTTTAAAGTTTGCAGAAGTTGTTATAGTATGAAACCTATTGTAAAAGGCATATTATTACATTATTTAGTATACACGTAAATAAAAACTTAGCCAAATTAAATGAAACTTTCTTCTTCAAATACACGCACCGACCAAACATCAAAACAAAAGATAATGAGGAATTTTATCTCATTTTCTTTTGTCTCTAATGCATTCGACGCATGTAAAATGCAACGTATAAAACAGGCCTAAGTGAGGAAACGATTGTGTTCAAAGAGGAACATTGTTTTTTCAGATGTTACTGAAGAGTCCAAAGTATATTGTGATGATGAAGATTCTGAAGACGATGATTTTGATCCAAATTTCAAAAGTGGATTTCTCCACGATTATTACAATATTCGCAAAGACGTGATAGAAAAATTAAAGAAGTAAGTATAAATCTATTTGATATCTTTTAATTTAATGTTTTTTGCTATAGCATAAGATACTCAAATATATCTTCTTGTCTCTTTTCAAACAAAAAGCATAATTTAAACACAACGAACCTCCTAAATAACTGTTTTTAGCAAGAGTAATTTATAGCAGGGACTGTTATAACGCTTAAGGTATATTGAAAAAAGTCTTGTAACTTTTTTTCAGTTTAAAATTAAACGTATACATGAACAATTAATAGCAATAGTATAAAGCTTTATGTCAGTAAAAAATACACAGAAAGTTTTTAAAATACGATTACTGCAATATTTAGTAGAGTGTAGCTTGAATGTGTATTATTTCATGCAGATTTCCTTGGATAAATGGACGTTGTGGAATAACATTTAACCCAGAGCCACGTTTGTATGTGACTGTAGCGCTGGACAGGGAAAATGACGAAGATTTTTTAAAGAAAGACATGAACGAAAAATTTGGATGGAAAGCGTCGGAGTATGTTGAATTTCTTTATGCCAAAAAATCATCGCCTACATTTCGTTATTTATCAAATTTAAAGTTTAGAGATAATGAAAATTTTAGCAGAGAGTCATCTGGTACAGTGACAATGTTTTGTAGGAAGGATAGAAAAGACTATGTTAAGTTGTGCACATGTTGCTTGTATATCAGACCGACAAGAAATTCGATCTTTACGTAATAAAACCCAAGATATCGATGAGATTATTAACATCCTTCGGATGACACAAGTACACCACAAGTCCCCTCTTGGTATTAACTTTCGTTTTTCACAAAATGGCCATGCTGTACTATCGAGTGAGATAGTCATCTTCAATCTGACAAGTATACATACCATTCAATAATATATTAATACTGTAATCATCAGGAAAGGTGTGTATATCAGTGCCCAGATAGGGAGGCTAGAGGGTACTATCACTTGCCTAAGGTGAACCCTCAGGCTGGTGGTGGGAAGGAGGTGCCTTACTTCTCCATTCCAGACAGGCTCCAAGCAATGTCTGACCACTGCCCTATCATCTACCAACTTCAATTTATTCTTTTTCAGTGGAGCATTGACCTCGAGGATGTCCTTTCATTGGAGCTTTGCATTTGTACATTTGCGAGTACTTTTATTCCCAGCACTATTTAAAATTTGATCCACATCATCTGTTAGGTCTTCTAGCTTCTGTCTTTGCTGTTCCACTAAGGAAAAATTGCAGATCATCACATCCTAAAATAATTGTAAACAATACCATTATCCCATACTTACAGCACGGATAAAGTGCATGACTGACAAGCTTGTTCCTCGCAACATATTTTTTTATTGCTTCAGCTTTGGATCGTTTGGTGGGAAACTGGCTGCACAAAGGTTTGGGTGCTTTTCCTCTATATCTTTTCATTATAGTTGAAAGTTCTTGTTTATTAGACATGAAAAGAACATTCTTTACTTGTTCAACATATTCTACAAATTGATATGAAAAATAATTTGTTACTGATGCTTCAATTCTCATAGTCTACAAAACAATCTAAAAATTAGCATACCTTAAGATAGCTTCACAGACACTTCCTGCACTGCTTCCTCACCCAACTTATACTTAGGGAAATTTATGTTATACCCCACTTGACCATCCTTTGATTTCTTCGACTGACGATGAACATTTTCATTGAAATGACGTATGGCAATAACACGTCTATCAAGAAAAAATTAAAAAAATACCGCAGCAGATGAGAAAATATATTTCAAGGCATTAAAATGCTGACCTGAAAAATGTTCCAAGCCATGAAAAATGAGTCATTTTTGGATGCCAATGGTTCAGGGTGGAATGAAAGCCTTCAAGACAACTAGTCTGGCCATCTGGTGAAAGTTTGCCGATGTCTTTCAAAATGCTTGGCTTGAGTAGGATAGAGCATATCTTATCATATGCAATAGTTCCTAAAAGGTTGTGAAATTGTGTTTCATGTATAGAGTTGTGACTATAGTATGACATACAACCTCGTACTATTCAATTGCAACAATAGCTGAGTATTTTAAGTTACCTATTGGTATCCATTTCCGCTCTGGGATCTGACCATGAGCACACGATGGGAATAATGCATCGGGGTGGTTATCATGCTTGTTAGCCATGTGTCTCACAATAGATTTCCAAGCTCTTCAAAGCCAATTATAGTAGTTTGAGCACTCCAATACAAATGTTGGCGAATACCACCCAACCATTCATTGATTATTTCACACCCTTTCTCTTTGCCTGCCATCTTAAGTTGTTTAGCAATACTTTTATTTACATGCCAGATATCATTAAAGTGCTTTGTTCTTTTTTTTCGTTTCGGATCCACTTTGCTATCCCTTTGAGCCTGTCACTGATGAAAACATTCATGGTAAGCCCAGATTTCTCAAGAAACTGAAAAGATCTTTTTGCTCCCTCCAGTTCCATGGCATTACTGCTACCAACTTCATTGGCCTGTTAAAAATCAAAATGCTTCCATCATTGAAAATAAAAACACAACAAACAATGATTTTCATCATTCAATAATAGCTGAAGCAATTCAAAATGAACCAGCTTTGATGTTGTGTTGCTCCAAATTGTGTAGACTTCATATTTCGCACTGTACCCCTTAGAATCAAAGCGTCCATCTCCTGACCATGTCTGGAAATCCGCATCACTTTTTTTCACATCTTCAATTAACTTTGACTGATAGCTTTCCCAATGCTTCAGAATAGCTGGAAACAAGAAGGTGCATTGATGCACATGATAAGTGGACACACTATTTGCTGAGAGATTCATGTGCTTGAATATCAGCATGGCCTGACTTATACTGAAACCAGACATCAATATACCAAAACTAGTCATAACGTTTCCAGCTGGATATCTTCCCAAAACCATAGGTTGGTTTCTCCACATAAAGTTCTTTTCAACACATTTACCACAATTTTTCTCTACAATGGCCATCGAACCAATGTTTTTAATGTGTACTTTTGGATTTTCAGCCTTGCAGTTAAAGCAAAATTTTTCAAATAACTCAATCAATGAGATGTAAAATACCATGAACATAGGTTGTTCATGCTAGCTTGCTCCTTCATCAATTCTGTAACACGATTAAGAAAATTCATTATTATGAAATACAACAGAGATCTAATTCTTTATTACTTGACTGTATTACTTGTGGTATCTTCATCTAAATCTTCACTCTGACTAGACTCTTTGAAAGAGGAGTAGTCCATGTATGATTCTCCTTCAAAAAGGTCTTCAGCACTCCCCCTGCATTTCATCATGTATATTAATGCTGGTCACCACGGATCTATTATGATTTTCCCTGATTTCGCTTAGATATTCATTTTGCAACTTCTGGGCCTTTTTCTTCAAAGATGCTTTAGTCTTTTTATACCAGCTTAAAGTCTTTTGTAAAGATGTAAGTTTTTTCTTAAGACGATGGCACGATTTACATGGAGACTGGGATTCACAAATATCTTCACCAACTTCATGTAGTTCTTCTTCAAATGGCGAATCGTTTGCTTCCCCAGTGCATACTTCAACATGCTCAGCTCCATCACTAGTAGATGGTACTTCCTCATCAAGAGAACATGTTTCCTTCAGCGATGGCTTATGGAGAGTATGTCGAATAATCTACAAAACTTATATCAAATTTACATATGACAAAAGAAAAATTAACATAAAAAGCGTAAACTTACCTGTCTTCGCTTTCGATCGGTTATTTCGTCTTGTAATGGTTCAGGAATCCCAGCCACGTCAATGGTTGGGATAGCATCTTTCTTCAACCTTCTTTTGAGCTTGACTTGCACGCTCAAATTAAGGTCAAAACAAGAATCTTCAAAATGTGCAGAACATAGACACGAGGTAGAGGAGGCCTCAAAACCCGGTCTATCTTTACGCACAAAATTTACCCATTTTCTATGTCTTTGCAGCTCTGTTTCTTTTTTAGGAAACAGATGCATCGACATTCCTTCGGTTTTTGAATCATTGGCGCAACTAATTTGATTAGGTCCGCCAGCAACACAGCGTTTTCCTCCGCGTTTCTTATTAAGATTACTAGTAGAATACGCCATGTTGATATATGTGTTCAACTTTCTACGTCACAAGTCATTAGCATACCAATCAAAAAGTTCGCAAAAAAAATGCTGAAAATCGTGACTTTGAACGTCCATAAAATCACTTTCACCAATCCAATTTTAATTATAATTGCAGATTTAAAATCACTGAAACAAGGTCTTTCAATTTAGCTAATAAAAAAGGGGGCTAAAATTCGTAATATAAACACTTTAAGGAAAGTTATGTTTTTTTGTACAACATTTCGAGTCATAAATGGTTGGAACAACATGAGAGGAACAGTTAGTTTCTGTTTTTCAATTTATTATTCTACATAATGCGAACTGGTTACACTAAACTGTGATATTTGTTCAAAACAACTTAAAACGAAGTAAAGTGAATTTTTTTCAGTGATGTATTTATTCTTAATCACGTTTCTTAATTTCGCTATTTTGTATAAAAAGTTTTGAGTATGCAACTACACATTCATCATCCACGATTGTATGAATAATTTTGCATAATTTACTGTTGAAAATTTTTGTTTCCGGAAATACGTAACATTAGGAAATTTCTCTAAAATAGGAATATTAATATTTCAATTGTTACATAATAGAAGAGTCTAAATTTCAGAAACATCTTATGTTCTGTTGCAAATTTACTTTGTAGAAAGTTATGTTGTTTATTTACATGTTAACAATGTTTAAAATTTGAACATTTGTTTATTTCCTAAAAGTTTCTGTGAGAAGTTACCTAAATGGGTCTCAACTCAATCAATGCTGATCTTAAATTTTCAGTAACGTACATTTCAGTTTCCTAGTTCTTACAAGCACAAGACAGACAACCATTTGTACACTGTGCCATGCCCTGGAGCAAACTAAGGAACCGGGGGAGGGTACATCCAGAAGCAAGTGTCTTATTTAATTTACTTTTCCTGTTGTCGTTTATTTCCGGAAGTCCAACTGTCAAGAGTTTTATCGCAAGTCAAGACATTTTAAAGTGAGTTTTTTTATGTTTCAAAACAAGGTAAGCAACTTAAAGAAACAGATTAATTTAATATAGCTTCTTGATTGATTTACGAGTAATGTAATAAATTTTGATTTATGAAACGCTCTCAAGCTACAATGTCATCAACACAGCACCACGTAGCTTATAACATTGATAATTGAAACGTCTTGCATGACATTCAAAGAATTTTTTATCTTGAGTGTAAAGCGTTTCCTTCCTAATTAACGCGAACATATCGATATCGAACATTGTATTCTTGTAACATTCGCCTGATCACATCTCGATCAGACTTCAATCAATAGTTCAAGTCGTTTTGATGAACGCTCTTTCTTGTAAAAAATAACACAGAAAACTATTTACGCAAATGTACACTAATAAATTCTAAAAATCATGTTTATGCACATAAGAACAGATTGCAGAAAACAAATGTACAAATCATAGAAATGGTGTAGTGTTTCATATTGTCAACTGACAACAGTCACGAACGACGCTGTTAGCTGTCTTTTAATTGTATACTCACTTATGATCATAAATTGTTGGACAAAATTTAAAACTATTTTAGTTTTTAGTCATAATGTAGAATATTTTATAGAGCGCTGTGTCGTGTTCATTTCAAAACCGAAGAATTGAAAGTTAAACATTTCTAGAAAGAAAAATAGCATTGACGCTATTTCAATAAAAACGAGTCTGAACGAGTTAAAGTGTCGTGTATTTCTTTATGTGATGAAATACTTGACGTCGTAGGCGTAGGAATTGGAGGAATGAATTTAAATTAAGGGAAGGCATTTATTAAAAATATTAGTATTGTTAATATATTTAAAAATCACGTGATGTTTCGTCATACGATGTACATGTAAACTTTTTAAAGTGAAAGTTTTTCAGATGCTCTGAAAAAGACCATATGAACGCGAATAAACGAGTGAATATGTTGAATTGTAATTCATAATGGCCATTGAGATAAATGGCTCGCGTATGTCAATAGTATTGTCTGATGTTTGCACATATGACACAGAAGGCAAAATTTTATTTCTAAGTATGAATTTGAAGTATAGCAAGCGATGAAGTGAAAATGATCATTTTTCATCTAGTTGTGAAGGCCGAGTCTAAAATGAATATATCTGTAACTGGCGGCAATACTATAATTGGTGATCACATGACAGTTAATATTACTCAAACTGGTGCTTCAAGTGAAGTAAATAATGCTCCTCTACATATTACTCATGCTGGCTCTTCCAGTGAAGTAAATAATGGAGCTGTTTCAACTGAAGGTAATTAATTTTGATCTTTTCCTTCTGCATGTTTCCATAAACTATCCATAGGATACCAGCGACGGTTAATGCAATCAAGAAATGCATCTAATAATTAAATGTAATGTCACTCGTTTGTCTATTTTTTAAAAATATTTGGTATCAAACTTTTATCCTAGATAACAAAATCGGGGCTTCCAACTGGCACGAACCAGATTATCAGTATTTTCAAAGAAGAGAATTAGATGATCAACTTCAGGGATTGAGAAAAGGAGTCCCAATAATTTTGCATGGATCAATTGGAGTGGGAAAATCTTCTGCTGCTTTAAATTATCTTGTTGTCAACAAAGACAAATATGACATCAGTTGGTTGATAGATCTTAAGAACTTTGACAGCGAACAAGTTGTTGAATCATTGACAAAGTTAGCGAAAGAGTTTTCAACCAATATGACTTATAAAGAAATGCTGACACCTATTGAGAAAAGAGCCGAAGAATTGAACGTAATTTTTTTGCTTGACAACTTGGAGTCTAAGAATCTTAAAGAAGAATGGTTTAAAGATTTATGGAATGTTCGTCATTCAATCAAAATCCTCATCACAACGAACGATCTTATCCTCAACCATCCTCTTTGGAATATATCCGAGAAAATTGAAGTTGATCGATTTGATGAAGGAATAGAATTTCTTAAAAAACTTAAGGATGGCAAAGAAAAGAAAAGAAAGCTATGTGACTATTTTGGCTGGAATATACTTGGCTTAACAGTTTCCAAAGACTACATTGATCAATATAAGATAACTATCAATAAATATTTAGATTTGCTAAATCACAAAGTCGCAGCAAACAAAGTTCGTGACGAAGAGCAAAATCACAAAATACACCTTTACGTTGCAGTGCAAACCTGTTTAGAAAATGTTGAAGATGAGTTCTTTCCTGTCATTGCAGCTGTGGCTTTTCTCAGTAATAATAACATACCAGAATTCCTTTTGAGCAGTCAATTACCTTCAAGTGATCCCCAGATCAATTTACTAGAAATGAATGAGCTTTGTAAGGGTGTTAAATCGCTGATTAAAATAACAGGAGAAGGTGATATCCGCCTTTTTTCATTCCATTCTTTTACCCAACACGTGATCAAAGATATGGTTGATGAAAAAGAAACCATTAAGTCAGAGGTACTTTATAAGTTATCAGGAGTTTTTATGAAGAACATCAACAAAGATAATCGTTTCTCAAATGATGATTCTCGGTTGCATATCGTTCGTAAGCACGCAGAGATATTCCTGAATAAATGGAAGAATGAAAAGAAAGATGATAGAACCATGATCGCATTAGCTAGACTCGCAGAGCTCATTGGATTTACGTATACTCGAGAACAACCTCCTTTGCTACAAAAACTGGACACTTTCTTCGAAACGTCGAGAAATCTTCCTCATAAGTTGTGTGAGGTGACTGAGGATGACTTGCAGCCTGTTGGATCGTTAAAAAAGGAGTCTGATGACAAGCAAGAAATATACGACATACCTCACTCCACATATCATATAGCTGAAAACTTAATGAAAAAGATGAAAAAAAAGAGTTCCCAAATACCATGTATGACAAGTATTATTTACGATCTTGTATATTGTCGATCTCTGAACAAACAAGATCTTGACGTGTTCCCGGATGAACTCAAAAATGATGAAAAATTGAAAGAAATCATCGAACTTTCACAACCGCTGACACAAGACATCGTGAATGACTTGGTAGAACATAAAGTGGCAATAGGTGTTGAAAAGTATAGCCATTTGTTCCTCGCTGAGCTTTATGTTTCATTAATATATAGCTATGGTAGAAACTACTTCTATCACGATAGAAAAACACTTAAGAAACCAAGTTTTTATGTCGATCTTATGAAGCTTGCGTACTGTCTGGCAAATAAAATCAACAAAGAACTGGGACCTGGTGTCGCTGTCTTACATGGATATCTTGTTCAAATAAGTGCTCTTCTTTATCTCCTTGTGAAAGATTACTGTGTCGAGAACGACAAGTTAGTGGAAAAAACTGCAGAAATTCGAAAGAAAGGTTTGGAAACTGCTATCAAATGTTACAAGCAACTGAGTAATGGTCAACAACTGTTCTTTGAAATGGGAATCTTAAAGGCGAAGAACGGCGATGAGCTGTTTTGCTACTGTGAAATCTTAAAGTGCTACAGAGAATTACTTGCGATGCCATCAAATACTCTTGATGATGTAAAATTGATCCGTAAAGATGGTAGCGGCATTTGCTGTGAAGTTAAAAGAAAATTGAAGTTGCTTGAAAATCAAGAATGTCAAAAGGGTAAACATTATCAACAATCAAAATATAGGAACGCAGTCGCTAATTTCTACATACAATTAGAAGAAGAGGACACTCAGGTAAGTTTCTACAAACAAGCGATAGAGATGTTTTCCATATCAGCTGAACACGCAAGAAAATCAAAAAAGTCTTTGTATCAACTTGAAGCCGTGGTTGGTTTAGCAGATGTTTACAGTAGAATTGGCCGTATAAGGTTTACTGCTTTGATGATTTCTTTCTGTCATCTTAAACAATGCGAAAGTAATGAAAACCTTCGAGAAATGCTGCAACAAAAGCCTGAAATCATTGAACGTATTCGTAAAATCCAAAAAGTTAACATTGTGCGAGCTATTGCACATTTATGTTTAAAGAAACAAGGTAAAAATTTGATGAGCTACAACTGAAATTTATAACTATGTTTAATAAGTCATTTTCTTTTATACTCAGTGGTTTCGGTTTGTAAAGTTAAGAAATTTATTTTCATTTCTTATTTGGCCACAATTTCTTCTCTATTTACTTCAACACTATACATAAAATTGATTTTACGTAAAATCTTTTGTCTCTGTTGGCTTATTGCTCCCTTGTAATCATGTTTTTCTTGATGATGATTGAAAATCATCTAAAAAACCTCAACGTAAGCAATGTGAAAAAAAATGTTTCGAAAGTACCCATGGACCAGTTTCCTAACACTGGTTATAGTTTTTAAAACGTAATTTTTTACACTTCCCTGTTTTACGTATTCCACAGTTCATAACATGAATTGATAAGCAAACATCTTAAAACATTTCTGTAGAGCAGAGGCTGCCGATCCTTGAGAAAGAGCAAAAGACACCTGAGACCAATGAGTATACAACTTATCGTGGGTCATTGGCTGTTGATGGCTCTTCACAAAGCAGCGAAGAGGAGCCATGGCAAACCAAAAAAGCCTACAAAGCAATAGGTAGGTAGACAATAAAAATACTACATTGGGTACGAGGACTGTAATGCAGTTATTGTTTGTAATCGTGACGAAAAGTACATGGCTTGAAAAATTAGTAATTCTTTACTTACTACTTTTTTATTTACTCTTCGGAAAAATAAAATGACGATAAATGACAGTTGTGTAGCAAGCGGAAACACAAATGAACCATACTGATTTCATCATTTATATTTTCTTTTGTTTGATTGTCGGGTTAATGGCCATTATCGAAAAAAATTTCAAATAATGTAAAATCATTAAAATTAAGTAAGTTATAACTAATGTTCTTAATACGTAGAATGAGATATACGATTGCTTTAAGATATTTGTTTACTTGCTCTTTTGTAAAGTTCATCCCGTTTATCATCCAGACGTGGACAATTCAGCTCATATAAAGCTTCACTATAAGTCTTAGCTGGAAGGATTACGTTAAGTGCTCTTTTCTAAATTTTTTCGATTGAGTCAGCCAAATAAACAGATACACTTTTATGCCATACAATACAGCAGTACTCCAAAACAGGTCGAATGAGAGCATTGTGAATAAAAATCGATTCGTGAGATTGATTACGCTTCGTTTAAGTACTATAGTATAAGCAAATTACGACGAAGCAAGACATCTTGAGATTGCAAAATATGCATCAAAACAAGACGAGAAGTGAACTGTAAATTTTCGACTTTATTTCAAAGTCATCCTCAGACAGAATCATTCTGTCTGCTTTATACTATATTTCTTTAAATTGTCGGCTGGTCATGGTTTTTCGTTTAAGTACGTACTACAATTATATGCAAACGCTTGGAGGCTTTTTTAGCAATCATAGCGAGATGTTTATTCCATTTAAGATTGTTCTATAATGAAGATAATTTTGCATACGAGATTTAGAATTCCATGAGAGAAATTAAGAAACGGAAAGGTCATCCATAAATTTTCAAGCTCTACTACCTTCTAAGGATGAGATCTTAACGAGGTTAATCATAAATTAAAATAAGATTGGGCCTAATTTAGTTCCTTGTGGTAAACCAGCTGTGACCGTTAACCATTTAAAAGCGAGGTTAGCAAGTCTTACACAGTCTGTTTACGATTGGGCAAGAAGCTTATAATCCATGGCATCATAGAGCGTCTAACTCCAATATCAATAAGCTTACTACCGAGCGCGTTGTGTCCGTTACGATAAAAAGCTTTTGTGTAGTCTAGGAAAAGTAGACGGTTGTGTTTATCAGGGAAGTCAACTTAAGATAAAAAGTAAACAGTTGTTTCCTTTAAGCAACCAAATTGCTGTAAATCAATATTATTTACATTATCTGCCATCATCTATTGTACCACAAAGTCCTCAAGGACTTTGTATAAGCAAGAAGTTATAGAAATTAATCGAATATCTTCTTCACTAGTGGTTGTGTTACTTTTGCGATTGGACTTTCCATCTTTGGAAAGAAAAATAAAACTATTCCGTGCGAACGAAAATACAAACAATATACACTGATGTGACCATGTGTATTTCGTACCTATGTTATTAATTAATTTGTTCATTCATTTGTTTTATTTAAAAATCTTAAGCTAAAGACGAAACGTTATTAATAAATCCTTCTCTATTTTATTATTGTGATGGCTTTTTAAAAGTCTTATGTTGGGCTATTATGTTCATATTGAACATTTGTTTTATATTCTTAAAAGAAAACAATTTGATCCAATATAAAAATATTCGTTTTAGAATGTTTTAAAGTGTTTTCAAAACATCTGCCTAAGATTCTTTACTAAAACCCTGTATTGAACGTTGCAGATGCATATCTGATGGATTTAGTACGAGAAATTCCGGGAAAATGGAAAAATTTGGCTATATATCTGAATGTTCACTCGACGAAAATAGATGAAATCGAATCAAATCATCGTAATGACGTCATCTGGCAAGGATTCAAAATGCTGGAACACTGGTTGCAGTCACGTGATGATGAACAGTCCTGGTACACAAGGAACTGGGAACTGCTTTTAAAAGTATCGGCAGAGAAGATTTGGCCGGAAAGATCATCACTGAAGGCCCTAGAATCAATGTTGAAAAATATTTAAAATATTAAAAATGTTTGAATGAATGTTCCTGTTTGATCATACGTACGAATATTTTACAGCAGACCGTCAATCTCTTTTGCTTTACAATACCAATATTTTATCGCATAATATACGTATCCTTCCTACTTTATTATACCAATATTTCAATTACGACTTCAGTGTTTCTTACTTTAGTATACCAATGTACTACAAATTGTATCGTGTGTCTTGCTTACGGACATTGTTTTATTGTTGCAATGTTTGCGCAACTAACCCTCAAAACACAAGGTGCCCATGAAAATAATTAGTGTGTAACTTGACCAATATAAATTATACTTGAGCGACGTTGTGTATTTTTTGCACAACAGTTCGAGTCATAAAGATATTGTTTGGTTGGAGCATCTTAAAAAATACGGATATTAGTTCGAAACTAATATAAAAATGTGAACAAAGTTAAGTGAAATTTTTTGAATAAAGTATTTATCAAAGCAAAAGGTGTTAAAGTAAAGGGTTAAAGTAAAGTTGTTCGGTCCGATATTTCTCCGTAAAGACCTTGCGCTCGGTTATTAAGGGTTTATTATTAGTTTATTACACATTAGTAGATTTTCAATTTCAATAAAATCTCTCCAAGCATGTTATGTTGTAACGTTACTCTATTACATGTTATGTTAAAGTCCTTCATTTGCGTGTTTACAATGTAGAGTTAAAATTTGAAAATTTTATTTCTTTCCTAAAAAAATCATTAAGAACCTAGCCGGATTGCGTCTCAAGGTACTCTATCAACTTTAATTTGAAAAGCGTACATTCTGGTGGCCACAAGACCAGAAGACAGCAATTTACAATAAAACTTTAACTGTTTCCTCTTAGAGACCTTAGAACAAGTAAGGGTCGACAAACAAGTGCCTTCCGACGAACTTTTCCTGTGTTGTTATTATGTATTTCCCGGAAGTCCACCTGTCATTGTTTTATATCACAAGATGTACAAATACATATAGTGAATTTTTTATCTTTCAAGTGAAGGTAAAGATCTAAAATGAGCATGTTAAAGTATTATACTGCATTTGGATTAAATGTCGAGTATTTTAAATGAGTAATATTGAAAATTTTAGTTTGTGAAACGCTCAAAATTACAACATCATTGCGTAAACCGACGTATACTTAGCTTATAATGTTGATCATAAACACGTCTCTTTCATAAGAATCAAAGAATATTTTATCACGGTAAGGGCTTAATTTTTTTTCTTCCTGATTAGCGTGGACATATTGTCAAAGTGTATTTTTGTTACATTCGCCTGATCGTAGTATATCGATCGTGAGTTCAATTCGATAATTCTATGAAGCTAGCTTTCTCTTGTGGCAGATAACACAGTAAACTAAACTAATTAAAACTGACGTTGCTTGACGTTGTACAGCAATAAATGTCATAATCTGTTTGGAGGTAACTTAATAACAGATTGTACTGTAGAGTACAAGTGTACAAGCTGTAGAAATGTTGTCCTGTATTATTATTGTGGTATGTAAACAATATTGTTGGCGTTTGTTTACGGTTGATGTACGAACAAGATCTGAACAACAACATCAATAAACTGTTAGCGACACTTGATACACATGAAAATTAGCGAACTTTAATATCAACTGTTAATAAATTTCAAAAGGCAAAAGTCACACGATGTGCTTGTCAACGTTTCAAGGTAAAAGTTTGCGGAAGATGTCCTGGAAAAGATCCATATTAACATGAATAAACGGCAGAATGCGTATTTTAAATTGTAATTCATGATGGCCAAAGAGATGTCAAATTTATGTTTGCACATATGACACTGAAGGCGAGATTTTCCTTCTAAGTATGAATTTCAAGTATAATAAACAATGAAGAAAAAAATGATCATTTTAAGTGCCCTAACCGTCTTCTCTTTCCTCTAGTTTGATGGCCGAGTCTAACAGGAATATATATATAACTGGCGGCAATACTATAATTGGTGATCACATGACAGTTAATATTACTCAAACTGGTACGTCAAGTGAAGTAAATAATGCTCCTCTACATATTACTCATGCTGGCTCTTCCAGTGAAGTAAATAATGGAGCTGTTTCAACTGAAGGTAATTTGTATCTTTTCCATTTGTGTCCATAAACTATTCAACAACGGTCATTCCAATCAAGGAAATGCATGTAATGTTTTAGAGCAACAATGTCACTGATTTATCAATTTTTTACAAATATTTGGTATCAAACTTTTATCCTAGATAACAAAATCGGGGCTTCCAACTGGCACGAACCAGATTATCATTATTTTCAAAGAAGGGAATTAGATGATCAACTTCAGCGATTGCAAAAAGGAGTTCCAATAATTTTGCATGGATCAATTGGAGTGGGAAAATCATCTGCTGCTTTAAATTATCTTGTTGTCTACAAAGACAAATATGACATCAGTTGGTTGATAGATCTTAAGAACTTTCACAGCGAACAAGTTGTTGAATCATTGACAAAGTTAGCGAAAGAGTTTTCAACCAATATGACTTATAGAGAAATGCTGACAGCTATTGAGAAAAGAGCCGAAGAATTAAACGTTACTTTTTTGCTTGACAACTTGGAGTCTAAGAATCTTAAAGAAGAATGGTTTAAAGATTTATGGAATGTTCATCATTCAATCAACATCCTCATAACAACGAACGATCGTATCCTCAACCATCCTATTTGGAATATATCCGAGAAAATTGAAGTTGATCGATTTGATGAAGGAATAGAATTTCTTAAAGATCTTAATGATGACAAAGAAATGAAAATAAAGCTCTGTGACTATTTTGGCTGGATAATTCTTGGCTTAACAGCTTCCAAAGACTATATTTTTCAAAATATGATATCCATTAATGAATATCTGGGCATGTTAAAACACAAAGTCGCAGCAAAGAAAGTTCGTGATGAAGAGCAAAAGCACAAAATACACCTTTACATTGCAGTGCAAACCTGTTTAGAAAAGATTGAAGATAAGTTCTTTCCTGTCATTGCAGCTGTGGCTTTTCTCAGTAATAATGGCATACCAGAATTCCTTTTGAGCAGTCAATTACCTTCAAGTGATCCCCGCATTAATATACTAGGAATTAATGAGCTTTGTAATGGTGTTAAGTCGCTGATTAAAATAACAAGAGAAGGTGATATCCGCCTTTTTTCATTCCATTCTTTTACCCAACACGTGATCAAAGATATGGTTGATGAAAAAGAAACCATTAAGTCAGAAGTACTTTATAAGTTATCAGGAGTTTTTATGAAGTACATCAACAAAGATAATCGTTTCTCAAAAGATGATTCTCGGTTGCGTATCGTTCGTGAGCATGCAGAGATATTCCTGAATAAATGGAAGAATGAAACGAAAGATGATAGAACCATGATCGCATTAGCTAGACTCGCAGAGCTCATTGGATTTACGTATACTCAAGAACAACCTCCTTTGCTACAAAAACTGGACACTTTCTTCGACACGTCGAGAAATCTTCTTCATAAGTTGTGTGGGGTGACTGAGGATGACTTGCAGCCTGTTGGATCGTTTTATTCATTCATAAGCGCTTTTTCGTGGGGATCTGTTAACAAGCAAGAAATCTACGACATACTTCACTCCACATATCATGTAGCTGAAAACTTAATGAAAAAGATGAAAAAAAAGAGTTTCCAAATACCATGTATGACAAGTATTGTTTACGATCTTGTATATTGTCGAACTCTGAACAAACAAGATCTTGACGTGTTCCCGGATGAACTCAAAAATGATGAAAAATTGAAAGAAATCATCGAACTTTCACAACCACTATCACCAGCCATCGTGCATGAATTGGTAGAACATAAAGTGGCAATAAGTGTTGAAAGGTATAGTCATCTGTACCTCGCTGAGCTTTATGTTTCATTAATATATAGCTATGGTAGAAACTATTTTTATCACGATAGAAAAACACTTAAGAAACCAAGTTTTTATGTCGATCTTATGAAGCTTGCGTACTGTCTGGCAAATGAAATAAACAAAGAGCTGGGACCTGGGATTGCTGTCTTTCATGGATATCTTGTTCAAACAAATGCTCTTCTTTATCTCCTTGTCAATGAAGACTGTGTCGAGAACGAGAAGGTAGTTCCTAAAACTGATGAAGTACTAAAAAAAGATTTTGAAAATGCCATGGAATGTTACAAGCAGCTTAAAGATGATCAACAATCATTTTTTGAAATGGGAATCTTAAAGAAGAGAAACGGAGATATGTACAGCAAGTTGATTTGCGACAGTCAAATCTTGAAATGCTGTAAAAATTTACTTGCAATGCCATCAAATGCTGTTGATTATGTGAAATTAATGTCTGAAGATGGGATCCGTACTTGCGTTGAAATAACAAAATTGTTGCAGTTGTATGAAAGTCAAGATAACCAAAAAAGTAGTCTTGTTCGATTGTCCAGGCATATGAACCCAGTAGCTCATTTCTACATGCAAGTAGGAGATAAGCAAGCGATAAAGATGTTTGCCATTTCAGCTGAAAACGCAAAGAAATTTAAAATGTCTTTGTATCATCTTGAAGCACTGGTTGGTTTAGCAGATGTTTACAGTAGAATTGGACGTAAAAGGTTTACGGCTTTGATAATTTCTTTCCGTCATCTTAAACATTGCAAAAGTAATGAAAACCTTCGAAAAATGCTGCAACAAAAGCCTGAAGTCATCGAACGTATTCGTAAAATCCACGCAGTAAACATTGTGCGAGCAATCGCCCATTTACGACTGAAGAAACAAGGTAAAAATTTGATGAGCAACATCAGAATTATATTGCTATATTAAATGGTCGATTTTCTCATAGATTTAACGGTTTCAGAAGTGCTCTGTAAAGCAAAAAAATCTTTTTTTCATTTTTTTTGGCTAGGATTTATTTTCTACGTTCTCATTCACAATACATAAAACGAATTGCTTTTTGTATGAAAGCTGTTTATCTTTGTTGATCACCCAAGTCGTGTCTCTCATGACTATTGGAAATCCTCTAATAAACCTTAATGTAAGATATAGAAAAAAATGCATATTTTGAAAATAATAATTGAAGGAAGCTGAATAGAAACTATCAATTTAAAGAAAAACAACCCAGCAAGTTATCCAACTTTTCTCAGTTTTACATCCTTTTCATCTGCCACATATTGAGTCAATACTATGGACTGTTGTGAATTCATTTAAGCGAACATCTTAATCCATTTTTGTAGCGCGGATGCCCCGAATCCTTGATGAACAACAAAGGATACCTGAGACAATAGAGTGTACACCCGAGACAATGGAGTGTACACCTGAGACCAGTGAGTGTACACCAGACACCAGTGAGTGTACACCTGAGACAATGGAGTGTACACCTGAGAGCAGTGAGTGTACACCAGACACCAGTGAGTCTACACCTGAGACCAAGGAGTGTACACCTGAGACCAGTGAGTGTACACCAGACACCAAGGAGTGTACACCTGAGACAATGGAGTGTACACCTGAGACCAGTGAGTGTACACCAGACACCAGTGAGTGTACACCAGACACCAGTGAGTGTACACCTGAGACCAGTGAGTGTACACCAGACACCAGTGAGTGTACACCTGACACCAGTGAGTATACATCATTTTTATTTTATAAAAGAAATAAAGATATTTTTCATATTTGCACTTCCTAATGCAAACCTCGGAGACCTTTTTTTGAGAACTTTCAAGCATGTGCAACCTTCGATCTCGGGCTTACACTGATCTGCTCTCGAGTTCTCTTAACGGTCTCCTCGGTTTTCATAAGCCTGTGCAAACATAATAAATATCTTTTATTTCTTCAGTGAAACCCACCTACAAGAAACGTTACAAATAAGTAATACCTGTCACCTTGCATTTTTTCTCCCCCAACTAAAAGGATAGAAAAACCTCTTTTTCTTGACATAAATACAGTTTACTCATGGAAAAGGAAAATAAAAAGATAGTTGAAGTAACTATTTCTAGCAAGTGTAAATAAAAACAAACTGTACTAATGTGATTATAAATATTTTGTTGTTATATTATTAATCACTTTGGCAATCACTCATAAATTTCATATTTGTTCTTGTAAAGAAATTCCATCTTTGTAAACATAGTTGCTTTATGATATTTTTAACACATCTATTTAAGATTCTTAAAACCCTGTATTGACTGTTGCAGCTATGGACAAATATCTAATAAATTTGGCGAGGAAAATTCCCCGTGATTGGCAAAATTTGGCTATCTTCCTTAATATTAGTGATGAGAAAATTAAACAAATCGAAATAGACGAACGTGGTGTCGTCTGGCAAGGATATACCATGTTGAAGTATTGGTGGAAATCCCGTCATAAGAAGAAGCTGTGGTACGAGGAACTGGCAAATGCTATTATTGATGGCACGGACAACAGAGATCTGGCCGAAAAGATAAAAAAGGAAGGCCCTGCTATCAATGTGCGTTATCGTTAGATTTCTTGTCAACGATATCGACATTTCGTTTTCACAATTGACATTTTAACGAAAGGAATACGCCTGTAAATGGCAAATTGTTGCAGTTTCCTTACGTAAAACATTTCGTTTTATGACTTCAAATGCAAGTTTTGCTCCTTAGCTGTTTAGTAGTACAAATTTTTTACAGCCAAGCTGAACTTCAATGTTTTTTTTTGCTTTACAATAACAATGTTTTATCGCATAATATACTCGTATCCCTCCTACTTTATTATACAAATATTTTAACTACAACTTTAATGTTTCTAAATTTAACATACCAATATACTAAACTCCACTTATTTACAAATTATATTGTATCTTACTTACGGATATTGTTTTAATGTTTCAGTTCCTTTATTTTTCAACAAAAAAAAGAAACAATAACTGTTCGTTGGATTTTACCTTTGCAATCGTCGTGCAACTGACATCCAAAACACTGGGTGCCCGTGAAAATAATTAGAGTGTAACTGCATCATATACTGCTAGATAAGGAAAGTTATGTTTTTTTGTACAACATTTCGAGTCATAAATGGTTGGAACAACATGAGAAGAGTCTAAATTTCAGAAACATCTTATGTTTCTTATATATGAATAGGGAAAATCGTGAAAATACTTGGAATCTAGATCAAGTTGATTTCATTGGTTCTTCAAATATTCCTTAACTTTTGGTTATAAATATTGTTACTTGTTATAAAACTTAGCGGTCATAACATTTTGCAATCACAGATAACGCAAAACGTTACAAATTTTGGTGTTATTTTTTATGTTGTATTATTTCAAATGACACATGTTACTTTTGTAACATTAAGATACTTTAAATAACCAGCATTGATTATAACAAATTTTATACACAAAACCTCAAACGTAAAGCACATCCAGGTGTCTCACTTTTCATTATTCCTTCCCAAAAAAAGATACAGTTCTATAGGGAAAAATATGGAAGAAAAAAAACGAAAATTAATAAAACTGTTTTCTTCATTGACAATTTTAATATCACAACTATTTTAAATCAAATTTGAGAATAATCATTTTGACTACATAGATAACCTATCCCACAAGTAAGACCATGTTTAGAACATGTTTAAGTTACATTCTTTATGCGGCAATTTTTTTTTAACGCACAATATCAAACGTACAACAAATTAAAAAACAATATAAAAACTTAGAAGACATAAAGCTTAGGAGAAAAATACTTCCGTGCATAATTTTGATCTTAAGACAATAAACACTGGCATGACAACATTTACGCTTGAAACAATTTTTAACCAACTTTTTCATATCTGCACTAGGTTGCACTATTTTCCGTTTTTTACGTGTGAAATATGTGAAGATCCTTGCATGCAGTTAATTTAAAAACTGAACAAATTTTCTTAAGGCAAAATTTGATTGTACTTCTTTCTTGCCATGTGCGAGGAACGAACGAGTAGCTTGAAAAGAATACAAATTTAACATAAATGTATGAAAAGGCATGTTATGCCATGACTTATCATGATGACGAGTAGAATTAAAATCTATAACTTCAATTTAAGGTATATCTTGCTCAAATTTTTTAACTCCAACTCTTCATCAGCTACGTCACTACGTAGAAACATGATATTTTTAAAGTTTGCAGAAGTTGTTATAGTATGAAACCTATTGTAAAAGGCATATTATTACATTATTTAGTATACACGTAAATAAAAACTTAACAGAAACTTTCTTCTTCAAATACACGCACCGACCAAACATCAAAACAAAAGATAATGAGGAATTTTATCTCATTTTCTTTTGTCTCTAATGCATTCGACGCATGTAAAATGCAACGTATAAAACAGGCCTAAGTGAGGAAACGATTGTGTTCAAAGAGGAACATTGTTTTTTCAGATGTTACTGAAGAGTTAAAAGTATATTGTGATGAAGATTCTGAAGACGATGATTTTGATCCAAATTTCAAAAGTGGATTTCTCGACGATTATTACAATATTCGCAAAGACGTGATAGAAAAATTAAAGAAGTAAATATAAATCTATTTGATATCTTTTAATTTAATGTTTTTTGCTGTAGCATAAGATACTCAAATATATCTTCTTGTTTCTTTTCGAACAAAAAGCATAATTTAAACACAACGAACCTCCTAAATAACTGTTTTAGCAAGAGTAATTTATAGCAGGGATTGTTATAACGCTTAAGGTATATTAAAAAAGTCTTGTAACTTTTTTTCAGTTTAAAATTAAACGTATACATGAACAATTAATAGCAATAGTAAAAAGCTTTATGTCAGTAAAATATACACAGAAAGTTTTTAAAATACGATTACTGCAATATTTAGTAGAGTGTAGCTTGAATGTGTATTATTTCATGCAGATTTCCTTGGATAAATGGACGTTGTGGAATAACATTTAACCCAAAGCCACGTTTGTATGTGACTGTAGCGCTGGACAGGGAAAATGACGAAGATTTTTTAAAGAAAGACATCTACGAAAAATTTGGATGGAAAGCGTCGGAGTATGTTGAATTTCGTTATGCCAAAAAATCATCGCCTACATTTCGTTATTTATCAAATTTAAAGTTTAGAGAAAATGAAAATTTTAGCAGAGAGTCATCTGGTACAGTTACAATGTTTTGTAGGAAGGATAGAAAAGACTGAGTTAAGTTGTGCACATGTTGCTTGTATATCAGACCGACAAGAAATTCTATCTTTACGTAATAAAACCCAAGATATCGATGAGATTATTAGCATCCTTCGGATGACACAAGTACACCACGAGTCCCCTCTTGGTATTAACTTTTGTTTTTCACAAAATGGCCATGCTGTGCTATCGAGTGAGATAGTCATCTTCAATCTGACAAGTATACATACCATTCAATGTTATATTAATACTGTAATCATCAGGAAAGGTGTGTATATCAGTGCCCAGATAGGGAGGCTAGAGGGTACTATCACTTGCCTAAGGTGAACCCTCAGGCTGGTGGTGGGAAGGAGGTGCCTTACTTCTCCATTCCAGACAGGCTCCAAGCAATGTCTGACCACTGCCCTATCATCTACCAGCTTCAATTTATTCTTTTTCAGTGGAGCATTGACCTCGGAGTATGTTGAATTTCGTTATGCCAAAAAATCATCGCCTACATTTCGTTATTTATCAAATTTAAAGTTTAGAGAAAATGAAAATTTTAGCATAGAATCATCTGGTACAGCGACAATGTTTTGTAGGAAGGATAGAAAAGACTGAGTTAAGTTGTGCACATGTTGCTTGTATATCAGACCGACAAGAAATTCGATCTTTACGTAATAAAACCCAAGATATCGATGATTATTAACATCCTTCGGATGACACAAGTACACCACGAGTCCCTCTTGGTATTAACTTTGTTTTTCACAAAATGGCCATGCTGTGCTATCGAGTGAGATAGTCATCTTCAATCTGACAAGTATACATACCATTCAATGTTATATTAATACTGTAATCATCAGAAAGGTGTGTATATGAGTGCCCAGATAGGGAGGCTAGAGGGTACTATCACTTGCCTAAGGTGAACCCTCAGGCTGGTGGTGGGAAGGAGGTGCCTTACTTCTCCATTCCAGACAGGCTCCAAGCAATGTCTGACCACTGCCCTATCATCTACCAGCTTCAATTTATTCTTTTTCAGTGGAGCATTGACCTCGGAGTATGTTGAATTTCGTTATGCCAAAAAATCATCGCCTACATTTCGTTATTTATCAAATTTAAAGTTTAGAGAAAATGAAAATTTTAGCATAGAATCATCTGGTACAGCGACAATGTTTTGTAGGAAGGATAGAAAAGACTGAGTTAAGTTGTGCACATGTTGCTTGTATATCAGACCGACAAGAAATTCGATCTTTATGTAATAAAACCCAAGATATCGATGAGATTATTAACATCCTTCGGATGACAAAAGTACACCACGAGTCCCCTCTTGGTATTAACTTTTGTCTTTCACAAAATGGCCATGCTGTACTATCGAGTGAGATAGTCATCTTCAATCTGACAAGTATACATACCATTCAATGTTATATTAATACTGTAATCATCAGGAAAGGTGTGTATATCAGCGCCCAGATAGGGAGGCTAGAGGGTACTATCACTTGCCTAAGGTGAACCCTCAGGCTGGTGGTGGGAAGGAGGTGCCTTACTTCTCCATTCCAGACAGGCTCCAAGCAATGTCTGACCACTGCCCTATCATCTACCAACTTCAATTTATTCTTTTTCAGTGGAGCATTGACCTCGAGGATGTCCTTTCATTGGAGCTTTGCATTTAGTACAATTGCGAGTACTTTTATTCCCAGCGCTATTTAATATTTGATCCACATCATCTGTTAGGTCTTGTAACTTCTGTCTTTGCTGTTCCACTAAGGAAAAAACGAAGATCATTACATCCTAAAATAATTGTAAACAATACCATTATCCCATACTTACAGCATGGATAAAGTGCATGACTGACATGCTTGTTCCTCGCAACATATTTTTTTATTGCCTCAGCCTTGGATCGTTTGGTGGGAAACTGGCTGCACAAAGGTTCGGGTGCTTTTCCTCTATATCTTCCATTATAGTTGAAAGTTCTTGTTTATTAGACATGAAAAGAACATTCTTTAATTGTTCAACATATTCTACAAATTGATATGAAAAATAATTTGTTACTGACGCTTCAATTCTCATATTCTACAAAACATTCTAAAAATTAGCATACCATAAGATGGCTTCACAGACACTTCCCGCACTACTTCCTCACCCAACTTATACTTAGGGAAATTTATGTTATACACCACTTGTCCATCCTTTGATTTTTTCGACTGATGATGAACATTTTCATTGAAATGAAGTATGGCAATAACAAGTCTATCAAGAAAAAAATTAAAAAAATACCGCAGCAGACGAGAAAATATATTTCAAGGCATTAAAATGCTGACCTGCAAAATGTTCCAAGCTATGAAAAACGAGTCATTTTTGGATGCCAATGGTTCAGGGTGGAATGAAAGCCTTGAAGGACAACTAGTCTGGCCATCTGGTGAAAGTTTGCCGATGTCTTTCAAAATGCTTGGCTTGAGTAGGATAGAGCATATCTTATCATATGCAATAGTTCCTAAAAGGTTGTGAAATTGTGTTTCATGTATAGAGTTGTGACTATAGTATGACATACAACCTTGTACTATTCAATTTCCACATTAGCTGAGTATTTTAAGTTACCTATTGGTATCCATTTCCGCTCTGGGATCTGACAATGAGCACACAATGGGAATAATGCATCGGGGTGGTTATCATGCTTGTTAGCCATGTTTCTCACAGTAGATTTCCATTTAGCAACAATAAGCTCTTCAAAGCCAAGTATAGTAGTTTGAGCACTCCAATACAAATGTTGGCGAATACCACCCAACCATTCATTGATTATTTCACACCCTTTCTCTTTGCCTGCCATCTTAAGTTGTTTAGCAATACTTTTATTTAAGTGCTTTGTTTCTTTTTTTTTCGTTCCGGATCCACTTTGCAATCCCTTTGGGCCTGTAACTGATGAAAACATCCATGGTAACCCCAGATTTCTCAAGAAACTGAAAAGATCTTTTTGCTTCCTCCAGTTCCATGGCATTACTGCTACCAACTTCATTGGCCTGTTTAAAAATCAAAATGCTTCGATCATTGAAAGTAAAAACACTACAAACAATGATTTTCATCATTCGATAATACCTGAAGCAATTCAAAATGAACCAGCTTTGATGTTGTGTTGCTCCAAATTGTGTAGACTCCATATTTCGCACTGTGCCCCATAGAATCAAAGCGTCCATCTCCTGACCATGTCTGGAAATCCACATCACTTTTTTTCACATCTTCAATTAACTTTCACTGATAGCTTTCTCAATGCTTCAGAATAGCTGGAAACAAGAAGGTGCGTTGATGCACATGATAAGTGCACACACTATTTGCTAAGAGATTCATGTGCTTGAACATCAGCATGGCCTGACTTATACTGACACCAGACATCAATATACCAAAACTAGTCATAACGTTTCCAGCTGGATATCTTCCCAAAACCATAGGTTGGCTTCTCCACATAAAGTTCTTTTCAACACATTTACCACAATTTTGTTCTACAATGGCCATCGAACCGATGTTTTTAATGTGTACTTTTGGATTTTCAGCCTTGCAGTTAAAGCAAAATTTTTCAAAAAACTCAACCAATGAGATGTAAAATACCATGAACATAGGTTGTTCATGCGAGCTTGCTCCTTCATCAATTCTGTAACACGATTAAGAAAATTCATTATTATGAAATACAACAGAGATCTAATTCTTTATAAGATAAAATACCTGACTGTATTACTTGTGGTATCTTCATCTAAATCTTCACTCTGACTACACTCTTTGAAAGAGTAGTAGTCCATGTATGATTCTCCTTCGAAAAGCTCTTCAGCACTCTCCTGCATTCCATCGTCTATATTAATGCTGGTCACCACGGATGTATTACGATTTTCCCTGATTTCGCTTCGATATTCATTTTGCAACTTCTGGGCCTTTTTCTTCAAAGATGCTTTAGTCTTTTTATACCAGCTTAAAGTCTTTTGTAAAGATGTAAGTTTTTTCTTAAGACGATGGCACGATTTACATGGAGACTGGGATTCACAAATATCTTCACCAACTGCATGTAGTTCTTCTTCAAATGGCGAATCGTTTGCTTTCCCAGTGCATACTTCAACATGCTCAGCTCCATCACTAGTAGATGGTACTTCCTCATCGAGAGAACATGTTTCCTTCAGCGATGGCTTATGGAGAGTATGTCGTATAATCTACAAAACTTATATCGAATTTACATATGACAAAAGAAAAATTGACATAAACAAGCGTAAACTTACTTGTCTTCGCTTTCGATCGGTTATTTCGTCCTGTAATGGTTCAGGAATCCCAGCCACGTCAATGGTTGGGATAGCATCTTTCTTCATCCTTCTTTTGAGCTTGACTTGCACGCTCAAATTAAGGTCAAAACAAGAATCTTCAAAATGTGCAGAACACAGACACAAGGTAGAGGAAGCCTCAAAACCCGGTCTATGTTTACGCACAAAATTTACCCATTTTCTATGTCTTTGCGGCTCTGTTTCTGTTTTAGGAAACAGATGCATCGACATTCCTTCGGTTTTTGAATCATTGGCGCAACTAATTTGATTAGGTCCGCCGGCAACACAGCGTTTTCCTCCGCGTTTCTTATTAAGATTACTAGTAGAATACGCCATGTTGATATATGTGTTCAACTTTTACGTCACAAGTCATTAGCATACCGTTCAAAAAGTTCGCAAAAAAAATGCTGAAAATCGTGACTTTGAACGTCCGTAAAATCACTTTCACCAATCCAATTTCAATTATAATTGCAGATTTAAAATCACTGAAACAAGGTCTTTCAATTTAGCTAATAAAAAGGGGGGCTAAAATTTGTAATATAAACACTTTAAAGATGGCGGTGTAAGTATCGTTCCAGTTACATATAGAGTTCACTGGCTGGGCACAAGTGCGAACTTCCCTCCCATGTTTAATTTTGTCGAAATATAAATATGTTTTGTCCTTCATAAAATTTCATTTTTTATTAACCAAAACGTAAAAATATAACAGTAACCTTAGTTGGGTTAGAGTCAGGGTTGGGGTTTGGGTTTGGGTTAGGTTTAAGTTTTTACGACAGAACGAATAGCAAATAAATTAAGAAGTACGGGTGCCGTACGAATAGCCACTGCAAACAAAGTTAGCCTTGTAAGGTATTGCAATCACTTTAAATTCAGAAGCAGTGGAAAAATTGGGTGCACTACTATAATCTTGATCATCATTAAAGTATCATCATGGTTTATGTATGTCCTGTCTTTAAACAAGATGTTTTAAACCATCAGCTATTGTTATATCAATATGAAATAAAACAGAATGGTTTTACATAAAAACTGTTTAACATGCTTCCCAAGAAAAATGAGCAGGAAATAAAATCTCCCCACGGGTACTGACTTGTCGGGGGAGATGTAGTTCTCCAACGATCTTCAAAGAGTGATATGAGCAATACTGGTGCAGATGCGCGGTCAGCAGCGGACGAGTACCCACGTTGATAAATATTTACGCATGCGCGTGCTCATCCTCTGATAGAGTGCAAGATGAGTCAAGGCGTGGCAATAAGTAACACAGGGAGTGGTGGCAAGTTTGTCCGGTTGGGGAAAGCAGTATTGTTCATACCAGTCTTCGAAGATCGTCGGAGAACTACATCTCCCCGTCAGGTCAGTACCCTCCGGGGAAATTTAATTTCTCCTTCGTATCTTCTCCGACTGATACTCGCAATACTGGTGCAGATTTCAAAGCCTTGCTGCTTCGCCTATATAATATGACACAAATCTTCATATCGAACCAAAGAATTTTATGTAATATTTTTTTATCAACATAACATTTTAAACTCACTCAGATGAAGTTAATACTGCTTTTACAAAAGTATCCTTATGCGCTTTAAAATAATGTTTCTTAAAGATTGTTGCTGACGACCAATCAGCAGTATCTAATACGAGTTCCATGGATACTCCAGAGTGCGCAGCCTACGATGTTGATGCTGATCTGGTGGAATGACCTGTATATTCCACAAATATTCTCGCATTCATCAACAGCGATCGTAGCCATCTAGATAACGTTTGTCTGCATATAGCCTTGTGTGTTTTTTTATACGAAATCACAGTTGTTGTTCATTCCCCCTAATATTTTGGGTGTGCTCAACATATTTTTCTAAACATTTAACCACACATATTTTTGAGTTCTCAGGAAATGCCTGGAAAGAAAGTTGTCGTGCAGGATGGTTTGACCGAGAGTTCTTTACATGTTTTGCCAAATAAAAAGTCTAACTATGCTTTTTTCTCAACACATTCTCAAGATTCAAAGCTGCCAATTCATGTACTCTGGCTGCAGATGTCAATGCTAACAGCATGACCAATTTTAATGACAATTCAGGAAGTTTAAGGTGTTCAGTTGAGTTTAAGTCTTTAAGAAAACCAATTGCCTTTCCAACAGGCCAAGTTATGGACATTTTCGGGCTCGGTGGCTGCATCTCAAAAATTCCTTTCATAAATCGGGAAACAACCGGCACACTACCTACATGTTTACCATCAATTAGGTCGTGGAGTTGTGATAAGCACGATTTGTATACTCCAATTGTTTGGTATGCAAGCTTCTCCTTGAACTGCGATGTTGAAAATTCCAGGATGTGCGTTATAGGTGCTGAAAAGCATAATTTCAATACAACGAACCTCCTAAATAACTGTTTTTAGCAATAGTAATTTACAACAGGGACTGTTATAACGGTTAAGGTATATTAAAAAAATCTTGTAACTTTTTTTCAGTTTAAAATTAAACGTATACATGAACAATTAATAGCAATAGTAAAAAGCTTTATGTCAGTAAAAAATACACAGAAAGTTTTTAAAATACGATTACATTTCGTTAATCATCAAATTTAAAGGTAAGAGAAAATGAAAATTTTAGCAGAGAGTCATCTGTTTTTTCACAGATAATTTTTTTGATTTCGACAGCATCTGCATCCTGATGAAGATCTTCTTCGTATTCAATGTCGATTGATTCACCATTCATTTCTTAATCTTATTATTGAAAACCTTTTAATGTATAATATGTTTACTTAAAGAACTGAATTCAAAATAAATAAAACAAGTCTTTGCGCAGTCATGTTATCTGTGTGTGGATCATTCACAGTGCGATTTAAAAGTTAAAATAATTTCTCTAAAATAGGAATATTAATATTTCAATTGTTACATAATACAAGAGTTTAAATTTCAGAAACATCTTATGTTCTGTGGAAATTTACTTTGTAGAAAGTTATGTTGTTCATTTACATAATAACAATGCTTAAATATTGAACATTTGTTTATTTCCTAAAAGTTTCAGTGAGAAGTTACCTAAATGGGTCTCAACTCCATCAATGCTGATCTTAAATTTTCAGTAACGTACATTTCAGTTTCCTAGTTCTTACAAGCACAAGATAGACAATCATTTGTACACTGTGCCTTGCCCTGGGGCAGACTAAGGAACCGGGGGGAGGATACATCCAGAAGCAAGTGTCTTATTTAATTTACGTTTCCTGTGTCATTCATTTCCGGAAGTTCACCTGTCAAGAGTTTTATCGCAAGTCAAGACATTTTAAAGTGAGTTTTTTTATGTTTCAAGGCAAGGTAAGCATCTTAAAGAAACAGATTTATTATAGCTTCTTGATTGATTTACGAGTAAGGTTATAAATTTTGATTTATGAAACGCTCTCAAGCTACAATGTTATCAACACAGCACCACGTAGCTTATAACATTGATAATTAAAACGTCTAGCATGACATTCAAAGAATTTTTTATCTTGAGTGTAAAGCGTTTCCTTCCTAATTGACGGGAACATATCGATATCGAACAGTGTATTCTTGTAACATTCGCCTGATCACATCTCGATCGGAGATCAATCAATTGTTCAATTCGTTTTGATGAACGCTCTTTCTTGTAAAAAATAACACAGAAAACTATTTACGTAAATGTACACTAATAAATACTAAAAATCATAATGTTTATGCACATAAGAACAGATTGTAGAAAACAAATGTACAAGTATTAGAAATGGTATAGTGTAAGTTGTTAGCGGGAAGCAATTAGCAATGCTATCAGTGGTATGTGAACAATATTCATATTTGATAACTGTTTACGGATGATGTTGATCTGGTAAAGTAATCGTTTCATTTATGTTTCATATTGTCAACTGACAACAGTCACGAACGACGCTGTTAGCTGTCTTTTAATTGTATACTCACTTATGATCATAAATTGTTGCACAAAATTAAGAACTATTTTTAGTTTTTAGTCATAATGTAAAATATTTTATAGAGCGCTGTGTTGTGTTCATTTTAAAACCGAAGAGTCGAAAGTTAAACATTTCTAGAAAGAAAACAAGCATTGACGCTATTTCAATAAAAACCTACCGACGAATCTGAACGAGTTAAAGTGTCGTGTATTTCTTTATGTGATGAAATTCTTGACGTCGTAGGCGTAGGAATTGGGAGGAATGAATTTAAGTTAAGGGGGCGGGAAGGCATTTATTAAAAATATTAAAATTGTTAAAATATTTAGAAATCACGTGATGTTTCGTCATACGATGTACATGTAAACTTTTTAAAGTGAAAGTTTTTCAGATGCTCTGAAAAAGACCATATGAACGCGAATAAAAGAGTGAATATGTTAAATTGTAATTCATAATGGCCATTGAGATAAATGGCTCGCGTATGTCAATATTATTGTCTGGTGTTTGCAAAATTTTCCTTCTAAGTATAAATTTCAAGTATAGCAAACGATGAAGTGAAAATGATCATTTTTCCTCTAGTTGTGATGGCCGAGTCTAAAATGAATATATCTATAACTGGCGGCAATACTTTTATTGGTAATCACATGACAGTTAATGGTACTTCAAGTGAAGTAAATAATGCTCCTCTACATATTACTCATGCTGGCTCTTCCAGTGAAGTAAATAATGGAGCTGTTTCAATTGAAGGTAATTAATTTGTATCTTTTCCTTCTGCATGTTTCCATAAACTATCCATAGGATACCAACAACGGTTAATCCAATCAAGAATTGCATCTAATAGTTAAATGTATTAATGTCACTCATTTGTCTATTTTTTAAAAATTTTTGGTAAGAATCTTTTATCCTAGATAGAA